GGCTGACCTTAGCAAAGAAGGAATGGAGACTGGTGTGGGGGTGACTCAGGGACAGGGAGGGGGGTGGTCCACGGGGAGTCCCCTCCCTGCACAGGCAGGGTGAGCAGACACCAGGGCCGCGAGGAGACTGGCCCTGGCAAGAGCTCCACTTCCGTGGTTTGCAAGGCAGTCAGGAGCAGGCAATCACAGTGCGCGCCTATCTCCAATCTAACCCACACCCCCCAACATATAAAACACATCCAGGGATGAGTAATCTCTTTTTCCTGCCATACAGTCCAAACATGGAGCGGCATGGGGCTTACTATTCTCTTTAATAAGATGCCCTGTAGCAGGTGGCATCAGACTTGAGCTACCGCGACGTTTTGAGGACCTATGTTTGCGAGCAGCATGGTGCACAGCCCATGGGCAGAGCTCCAGGGCCACGCATGGGGGTCACCACGACAGACACTGCAGTTATTATTTGCGAAGAGTGGCTAGGGTTACAGCTACATCTCTTTCCGATGCCCAGTCTATAATTCTACAAAGTAAAAAGAGGGTGAAAGAGGTGATTTCTAAAATTCTGAGTAGTACTGTGCAGCCACAGCCCATCACTGCCACTCAGTTACAAGGAGAGATTTCTAGTTCCATTCGGGCCCCCAGGACCTCCCTTTAGTACTAAAATCCCTGGACACAACACAACAAGCAAACACCGATGGGGAAAGAGCACGGAGGGCTGCCTGGGCACCCAGGGCTGCAGTCTTGTTTCATTGCCCCCACACCCAGGGCCCTGCAGCACCGCGGAGGCCTCACCTGGGCCCCCAACGGGCACCGAGAGACAAAGCCCCAGGAGCAGCCTGTTCTTCCAGCCGAAGGACGGGGAAGGGGCCTGGCCACACCTGCCTGACTCCAGCCCAAGCCCGCACCTGTGGTTTCAGGATGGCAGGGGCGCAGTGGATTTTTCAGTCATGCCCTGCCCAGTGCAGTGCTGGTGCTGGTGCCACCGTGGGGTAGGGTATGTGTCTCTTTCTCTGTCTCTCCACCTCCCTTCCACTCTCTCTAAAAGTCAATGAAAAAATATCCTCGGGTGAGGATTTAAAAAAAAGAAAATGAGCAAAGGAAGTCCTCTAAACAGAAATGATAACAGGCTTAGAACTCCAGAAAAAAAAAAAATGGAATGGGGAAAAATGGGAATAGTAACAAACTAGTCTACTTCTTGTGAGCTTCCTAAATGTACATGGAGGAAATAGTTAAGACAATTGTATCTGAAAAGCGGGGCAGGTGAGGGGACCTGGAGGAAAGTGAGGTGTCTACACTGCAGCTGACGTTAAAAAACGTTGATACCACTGACACCAGTGGATTACAGTAAGTTACGTCTGTATATTGTAATATCTAGAAAAACCACTAAAAAACTAGAGAGCGCCATATATTTAAAAACACTATAAACAAATCAAGATGGACTCTTAAAAAATGTTCAGACCCACAGTAAGGTTTAAAAAAAGAGACAGAGGAAACAGAGAAACACAGAAACAAAAGCAACAGAAAGGTAACACAATGGCAGAGTTAAGCCCTAACACATCAACAATTACCTTAAACGTAAATGGTCTAAATACAGTATTTAAAAGACAAAACTGGCAGAGTAAATAAAACAAAGTTATGTAAAAATATGCTGCCTATAAAAAACTTACTTCAAATACAACACATGCAGGTTGCAAGTGAAAAGATGGAGAAAGCTACACCATGTAAACATTAACACAGTGGTGTTTTGTTTTGTTTTGTTTTTACAAAACGCAGGAGTGACTACATCAATATCAGGTAAAGTGGGCTTTAACAGCAATGATAAAAGGATCAATTAAACAGGAAGACAGGACGATTCTCAGCACCAGCCAGTGTCTCAAAACACACGAAGCAAAATCTGATGGACTTTAAAGGAAAAAGACAAATTCACCCTTATAGTTGGTGATTTCAACACTGCGCTCACAACTGACAGAACTACTAGACAGAAAGTCGGCAAGGAAGAAAGGGGCTGGAGGCAGAGGAAGAGTGGAAATTGGGGGAAAAACAATCAGTAACTTAAAACAACTTCTAATGAAAGTGAGAGTCAAAGCAGGACTGCATGTGAGCACCGAGAAGATGACAACCAAGACTACAAAAGCAACACACACCTTCAGCCTAGACAACGAAGACGGAAATTGTTACAGACTTTGCTCACCTTGTGTCAGTCATCCATTTAAATAGAAATTGCAGCCAGGAAATCAAGAGAAGGCCGAGACCAGGAAGGGCAGTGATGGGAGGATTAAGAAAGATCTTCAAGGGCAAAGATGCGTCATTAGAGTCCAGGCTGAGACCATCCACGTCCTCGTATCCCCAATCAATAGGTACAGACGCAAAAGCTGGACAAGGAAGTAGACTGACAGAAAACAAGGAATTCATCTGAAACACGGTGTTGGAGGGGAGCTCTCTGGTTACCCTGGACCACCAAAAAGATGGACAAGTGGGTCCTAGAGCAAATTAAGCCTGAAACGTCATTGGAGGCACGTATGACAAAGCTGAAGCTATCCTACTTCAGGCACATCAAGAGAAGGCAGGCTCTTTGGAAAAGACAATAATGCTGGGAAAAACAGAAGGCAGCAGGAGAAGGGGAAGGCCAAATATGAGAAGGACAGACTCCATTAACAAAGCCACAGGCTGAGTCTACAGCGGGGCTGCCAAGTCTAGGACACTGTGAGGACATAGCTCATTCGTGGAGTCACCAGGAGTCGGAGACAACTCAACTGCAGTAACACAAGTACACGTACACACACACACACACACACACACACACACACACACACGTACACACACACACACACAATGTATGAAAAAAATTACCTCGACCAAGTAGAGTTTGTCCCAGGTATGCAAGGTAATAAATGCTGAGAAGCAATGTAATAATGCACCTGAACAAAGACTCACATTAAGTAAACTCGTATGACCATATCAACTCATGCAAGAATAAACATTTTACAAAATCTAGCACCCATGAAAAAAAACTCAGTAATCAAGAAATAAAGAGAAACTTCATCTTTTTAAAAAGCATCTACAAGATTCCTATAGTTAACCGGGTACTTAATGGTTAAAGACTAGAAGTTTTCCTTCCGTGACTGAGAAAAAGGCAAGGATGTCCGCTCTCACCACTCTTCCTCAACACAGCACGACGAGTCCCGGCAGTGCAAACAGAAATAAAATGCACACAGATCAGAAAAGAAGAACGAAAATTGTCTTTATTTGCAGGTTACATGACTGTCAAGATAGGATGCCCAAGAAATTTACAAAAAAACCCTTTAGAATTAATGAGTTCAGCAAGGCTGCAAGACACAAGATCAACACACAAAAATGAATTACATTCCTATATACTAAAAGTGAACATGTGGGAACAAAAATTAAAAATACAATACCACGAATGGTTGCTCCAAAGTAAATGAAATCTAACAAAACATGTGTAAGACTTGCATGCTGAAAATTAGAAAACCTACAGACCTAAATACTTAGAGAAACCTGTCTGTGTATGGATTGGAAGATGTAACACACTAAAGATGGACATTTGCCCCTAAACTGATGTGTAGTTTTAACATAATTCCTATCAAAAGCCCAGCAGTGGTTTTAAGGGCACAAATAAGCTTATTCAAGAATTTACACGAGAAGGCATAGGGCATAGGCTAACCAATTTTGGAAAATACTGAATAAAAAGTGAGGCGTCACTCTACTACCATGGCCTAGCATATAACCACAGCAATAATGGTGGTGTGGTGTTGGCGGAGGACCACAAAACAGAATCCTGAAACAGACCCACACAAACGTGCCCACTGATTCTGACAAAGGTACAAAAGCAGTTAGACGGGCAGCGGATAACCTTGTCAAGACGGTGCTGGAAAGAACAAGTACTGATCTAAACCTCACACCTTACACACAAATTAATTCAATGTGAATCACAGATCTAAATGTCATTCGCAAAACTACAAAACCTTTAGAAAAAAAGAGAGGCGAAAATCTTTGGGACCTGGGGCTTGATGAAGACTGCACACCAGAAACATGACCCGTGAAAAGAAAAACCGATGAACTGGACTGCATCGAAAGTAGAACCTTCGCTCGATGAAGAGGGTGAAAGACAAGCTACAGGTCTCTGACAGACCCACAGGGGCACTGGTGCACCCACACTGTGGGATACTCCTCAGCTATGACCACCAAGCCACCACTGGCACACAGCTCTCGGGTGGATCACAGGAATGTCGCCGAGTAACAATAGCCAATCCCAAAAGCTCACGTAGAGTGTGATGCTATTGCTACAGCACACGTGAAATGACAGGGTAGGTACGTAGAACAGATCAGTGTTTGTCAGCGGTCAGGGACCGGGAGGGAGGAGGCTGTGGCTATAAAAGCCCAAGAGTAGGCTCGAGATGAAGCGACTCAGGATCTTGATCGTGGCGGTGACGACACAGACCCATGCGTGTGACAAATCACACTGAAGTTAATACACACCCACTGCCACGTGGAACTGGTAAAATCGGAACAAGGTAGCTGGATTCTACCAATGCCATTTACGGGCTGTGGACACTGCATGCTATGCAAGGCATTGTCACAATGGGAAACTGGGTGAAAGTTACACAGGCGCGCTGCATTACATTTTACAAGTGCATGTGAATCTATAATTATCTCAAAATAAAGGGTGTTTTTTAAAAAAGATATAAACTGTCTAGACAGTTATCAATCACTCAATTTTATTTGGAGCCAGTAAAGAAAACTTTCGTCACTTTCTATCCCCTTCGGGACCTACAAAGGGTCTACACTGGTGAAGGCAGGATCTGAGTTTTCACAAAGCCGACTATCCCAGGCTCCAGGGTGGCCCTGAGGGGCCCGAGGAACCAAACCATCCCACCTTCCACCTTTTCAAAGCCTGCATGTACCATGGGTTTAAAGAGGTAAGATGAAATGCATACTCCTATGCTTATGAATACTCAAGATGTTTATAAAATGAGGTTAATTACTTTCACTCTCCTAAGTCAACAAAAGCCACCAGAGGAGGAAGTTTCATGGAAATGATGTGATGTGAGTGGGAAGAGTCAGGTCCGGCTGCTTAAAGCACCACCGCAGAGGCCGGCTCCTCCGTCTGCAGGGCCCGCCCGTCCAGCTGGCACACACAGCCAGCCACGGTTGCATTTGACATTCTGCTAGTAGCCATGCTTAAAAAGTAAAAAGAAACACGTCAGATTAACATCAAAAGTACATTTTATTGAATGGCCAACAAACACATGAAAAGATACTCAACATCACTAATCCTTAGGGAAACACAAATCAAAGCCATAATGAGATACCACCTCACATCCCTCGGGATGGCTATGTCAAAAAAAACCCAAAATAACCAATGCTGGTGAGGATGTGGAGGAACTGGAACCCTGTGCACCGCTGGCGGGAATGTAAAATGGTGCAGCCACATTCCTCAGAAAACTGAAACCAGAACTACCCTATGACCCAGCAATCCCACTGGGAACATGCCCCAGAGAAATGAGTGCAGGATCTCGAAGAGACATTTGCACACCTTTGCTCTTAATGGCATTATTCATGACAGTCAAGAGAGGGAAGCAGCCCAAATGCCCGGCGACGGATGGACGGCTAAAGAAAATGTGGTCTCCACATACCATCCAGCCTCAAAAAGGAAGGAAATGCTGACACAGCTACAAAATGGGTAACCTTGAGGGCATTATGCCGAGTAAAATAAATCAGCTACAAAAGGACAAATTCTGTAGGATCCCATTTAATAGAGGAACCTAGAATAGTCAAAATCAGACACCGATAAAATGCAGGCTGCCAAGAACTGAGGGGAGTGGGAAGTGGGGAGTTACTGTTTAATGGGCATCGTTTCAGTTTACAAGATGAGTAAGTTTGTGGAATTGGTTGTGCAACATTGCGAATTTACTTTTAACACTACTGAACTGTACACTTAGAAAAGGTTAAGATGATAAATTTAATGAGTTTTTTACCCCAAGACATTTTTTTTTTTTTTACGTTTTACCCATTGTTTCCAAAATATCTCAACATATATTAGTATGAAAATGACTGGGCCATTATTTCATCCTCTTGTTCATGTATAAGCCTGAAATTCCCATGTGAACTGACACTGACAGTATATCTGATGTGGACTAGTCCCACCTGAAGGTTCAATGCCACCTGGGCTCCCTGCCAAGCCTGTGCTGAGCTAGACCTTCCCTGTCACCGCTAGTACCGGGAGGGTCTTTTCCTTGGACAGGTGACTGTTCTCAGGAAGCTCTTCGGTGGCCACAGGCAAAGCCTGAAGGCCTCTGAACGTCTCCTGAGCATCTGTCTCCCCCTGCCAGGCCCTCAGGATTTGCAGAACATCGTGCCTCCTCTCCTCAGAGCTCACACACCGAGAGAGGGGCGCGAGCAGGACCCTGAAGGACACAGAGAACACAGCTCCAATGTGCCGGGGAGGAGTGTGAATGTGAAGTCATTTACCCAAGTGACTCGTGGGAGTGAATCACCAGCTTTCACCCTTATCCTCACCTTTCTCAACTCGTACTTTCAACAGTACTGACTACACCTTCAAAGCGTGACTCTGTACAGCATTTAGTGCACGATGCGTGTGAGACACATCTGGTGAAAGTGTGCGCAACAGGAAAGGCACTCAGCCACCAGCAGCCGTCAGCGGCTTTGATTAAAATCATCATTCTTCCCTGAGAGAGCATCTGGCACTTCATCCTCCCGGGGTGAAAGGAGACTAAAACTTGGTCAAGTGAAAAGTGATCTCCCACAGATATTCTTTGAACGTAGCGTCAGAAAACGACTCCGAGATGTGGAGGAAAACATGAAGGTGTTGCTAACTGCTGTGGTCCCACACAGAAGGCACTTTCTCAGCAGAACAAGATGCAGGAACAACACTAATATACGCTGTTCTCCACCCCGTGTCTCTGAGCAAAAACCATCTATGGACATGGGTGCCCCTGGCTAAGGAGAACCCTCCCATAACCTCACATTCGTGCCCCGCTGGTGGAAAACAACCACAAAGACGTCTTTGTGAAAAACGCATTTTGCAATACATTATCAAAAGCTTCATTGACAATCTTAATGGATGTGGTTGAGTAAGGAACAGTGAATATGGCCCTAAAGAAAGGAACCAAGTCTACCAACTCAGCAAATGTCAGTGGCCTTCAGGAACCGAACTATTTCACCAACATCCAGGAAACCGTTCTGGACCACAAAGATGTGATTCCATGGAACGGACCCTCCTATCTAACTGTCCTCTTCTCCCACCAGCCCCCAGAGCCCCCCACCCCCGCTCAGTCTCTCCTCAAGTAATCTCCCAAAAACTAATCCTGAAAACTTACTTTGGTATGTTAACTTCAGACAAACTCTTTATAACTCATCATTTAATCCCACGCATGCTGTTACCACACCAATCTACTGAAGTGTCGTTACTATGAAATTACACCTCAGGATCCATCACTGTATTTCCAGGTATAACCACAACTTTGCTTAATAACTGAGATTGTGATCTCTAAGGCCCTCCATCTGTCACCTCAAGTAACGGTGCGAAGACCTTATAATTAGCTTGCTAAAGAATATGTCACCAAAAAAGCCATCATGTCACCCTTAACACTAAAAAGTACACTAACTGGCCCATACCTGGTTAACAGGGAGAAGAAACTATTCCTGTGCATTAAGCCACCACCTGCAGAGACCGGTTTGGTCTTCAGTGAAACATGGCAACAGCTTCTGGAGGCTCCTTAAACGTATAGGTTGTTAAACACACACTCCACTGAGTCCTGTGAATTCACTTAGTGAGCAAGAAAGCTGTGGGTTCATGTACTCAGGATTATTTTCATGGGCAGAAACACATTTGCAAGCACCAAGAACTTCTAAGGTTGAAATGAGTTCAGGAGCCGTACCAACAGCAATAACGAAAGGAACAGCAGTAATAAAATGTCTGGCTCCTTCTCCTGAGGAGGGGTCCTAATAAGGCACGGTGGTCACGTGGTGCCCTGGGGGATTGGTCCCAGGACTCCTGTGGACACCAAAACCCATGGACGCTCCAGTATTCGTATGCAGGTGACAGCGAGGTGTGCCTGTGCATCGCTTCATGCACACGGATTCGGAGCCACGTTCGGCACACGCGGCAAATTCGAGTTTTGCTTTTTGGAACCTGCTAAGTTTTTCTCCCGACTCAGCCCCCCAAATACTTTCCATCTACAGTTGGTGACTCCTCCCTGCATATGAAACCCGTGGATACAGAGGGCCGACTGTATCACTCAGCATTAGCACGAGACATGCAGGCAAATGTAGCTGCTGCTGTTTTTGTCCTTTGTGCCTGCCACGCCCCCAGCGTGCACATCCTCTGACAAGTGACCAACCCTCTAAGCCTAGAGGGTCTTTCTCTCTGTGACATGGGGACAGACCTGCACAGTTCTCACCTCCCTGAAGGTTATGAAGACCAACACCTACAGAATTTGCAAATCCAGGTTTGTCACTGTCCTCCAGCAGTTAAGAATCTCCTCTGGTGACTTTGTGTCACTTATGTTTCAATAGAATCAATACTCAATTTCTTAATCGGTAACGCTGCCAACCTGCTCGTATCTGGTCAAAGCAGGAAGGACTAATCTGGAGCAGAGGTAAAGGAGAACCAGCTGAACCCTGATGAAGAAACGAGCCTTTCCCATCAGTGGGGGACAGCGATTTGCACCCACACCCTCACCACGCCCTTGCTGCCTGGACTCAAAGTCACAGGCCAAGGGTGAAGGGTCTAATCAAGCTTATAGCTGCCAATGTCTAAACATCGGGACATTTGACATCAAATCTGCATTCTTGCATTATCTTACAAGAAGGCCTACCAACTGAGACCACACCCCCCCAGGGCCACAAGTTGGGGGTGGGGGGTGGGGGAGGCTCTCCAGTTTACCCTAATCCCACCAGGTCAGCTTCCTCGCCGCTGGTACTGCCAGGTGTTTCTTAGCACTGACTGCCACTCCTGGTTCAGACCCTAAAACTGCCTTTCATCCCGGAAGTAAAAACCCATAATTGAATCTCATCAGGACCACGTTAAAACTGAGCCAACAAAATAAACCCAAAGAAGAATTTGAACAGAAAACACCACGTTCATGGTTCTGTGCTGGCACTGACTACAGGTCAGTTTGTTCCATCTCTTCACACTTCTGGCTATGTTACGCTCCCTGCTGTAACTGTACTCCTTAGAAATTAAGAAATACTTCAATAGTAAGCATATCTCTCTGCCCATCTTCCAGATAAGAATAAAAACACACGTAAAATAACAAAGGCATTATTATTTGTGTTGGGGGCACTCAACTTCCTGCCACCAAACAAAACACACTGACAACGTCTATGCGGGCTGGTGCTGGAACACAGATTCAAGCTTTGGGGGAGGCAGCGGGTCTGAAGCCTATTCACAGGGCTCTGCTCAGAGCCCACTGGACTAAGCCAGAACCTCCCGGGGACTCTTGATTCCTTGGTTCTCAGGACTGGACCCTGCGCTTGGGGCACAGGAGTGCGCGCAGAGGCAGCAACTGCAGCCGGCTGGCCGCGCTCCCCGCTCCGGCCCCATTGTTCTGCCGAAAGTGCTGAGGGCAGCAAGTCTGGGGAGCTTTGGCAAGGGCCGTCCGTCGTAGTAAGTGCGTCACAATAGAGTTTGTAACTCTGAGCCGCTCGGCCCGCTCCGCTCCCGCCCGCCCGCCCGAGGTCCTTCCCGCGGGGGCAGCGCAACGCACCCACCCGGCAAAACTTTCTGCAAGTCCACCCGCATTGTTAGGTGAGCACCTCCAAACAGGGGGTCCCCGAAGCTGGCCCCGGGCGCCCCGACAAGTTAACAGTAACCCCGCACGCTAGGCGACCCGGGGCGCGGGGCTCCTTCACCCTTAGATCCTCCCTCTCCCCACGAGCAAGCTCAAACTCACGTCCGACCCTTCCCTGCCGAGCGTCGCGTCCGGGCCCGGGCCCCGCGGCGTCGTGCACGCACCCTTCGCCGACCCGGAGCCCCCAGACCGTCTCCGCGAATGACGGCGCACCAGACAAAGCCAGGGACCCGCGCTCAGAGGACGCGGGTCTGCGCAGAGCCCGCAACTGGCCGCGTGCCCACTGCCGCGATCCGCTGGGCCGCCCAGGGTTCCACGCGCCGTGCCTCTGTCCCGCACCGCCCCGGCCGCCGCCGCCGGGAACATCCTCCCCTCGGCCGCTCCTCCCCTCGCGCACTGCGCCCGCCGCCGCCGGCTCTGCCGCCTCCCCGC